ACAAGAGGCACGACTTCGATAAAAATGGGACCGAATTAAATTACCTGTCTGTAATAAATTACCCAGGACACCGGGTGGAAAAACTCTAGGCGCTATGACAGCACAGTGTTGTGGCCTGACGCCGAACACAGGCCGGTCCAGGTGATAAAATAACTAAAAAATCGGCAGTGCATTGCGAATTCGGTTGCAAAATATACGGCTGAAATAAACAGACAGGTGGGTCGCATGATATGTGATTGTAAGTTGTCGATGAAACAAAAAAGGCGAGTCTGTGGTATCATAGCAAAACGTGTTGCTGTATGTTGAATCGCTTTGAAGAAACGTAAGCAAATGCTACGCCCTTGACACATCAAATTGCTCACATGGATGTGTTGTCAGAACAGATCTCATCCAAAATACCTTTGCGATCGTACATTACGTTGGTTGATCGAAATCACTTCGCATTGGTTCAGCCACATCAAAGATCTTACGACGGCGTAGGCAAAGCAGAAGTTAAATTCGCGGCTCCCCTGTAATAAGGGATTGCTGCATGAACCAACCTACCAAGTGGTCACCCGGTGCAGCTTTACGTCCTACACTAAAACAGAATATTACTTTTTGTTTGGCCTGGTATTATTTGCATTTCATCATTTTACCATCTCGATGCTGTTCTGATTTAGCGATCTTTCGAGCAAGGAAGAAAGTCACTGTTTCGTGGTCGAAACTTTCGCGAAAAATTATTAATTAAAAAGATATTTTCACATCAACCTTAGTCTTACGGTCCAAATCACTAAATCGACAGATCAGACTTGTTATTAAACCGAACATCGTTTCTGAAGCAACTGTGTAATAAAACTAAAAGAGGAATAGATACTGCCTTAAACATTAGGTCTGTAAAGATAGGTAAATTCCATTGACAAAATTCTAATTAGTCTACCTCTCATCAAGTGTATAACGTTATGCATTGATTAACAACAAACTTTGCTTGTTACGTTCTTGTGTATGCCACAGTTCTTTGGGAATCTCAGGTATTTTTGTTATTACGTCTTCATCACACATTAGTAAATATGATTAACAACGAAGTAACCTGGAGTTCAAAGCTGGTGCTACTCTACGCAGCCGACTAAGCCACCTCAAGACCCAGAAACCTAAGGAGCAGAAAGCCGCTTCGGTGTACCAGATTCCTTGCCCCTGTGCTGCGGTTTACATAGGCGAAACGGGTAATACTGTTGAAGAAACGAAGACAAACCACAAGAAGAATCTCATCAGGTGGAAGACCGCTGACGCTACAGAAAGGGGTCAACAGCAAGTCGGAGACAGACGAAAAACCCTGAACTAATAAAGGCCGAAAGCGAGAAAAATTCTGCCATTGTGGAACATGCTGTTACCCACTAATACAGCATATCTTGGGACAGCATGAAAGGTGCCTCGCGGGCACAACAATATCTGTCCCGCAAAGTCAAGGAAGCGTTATTGATCCGAGCAACCAACTGCATCAATCGTGACCTTGGAACAGACGTCAGCGACACATGGGCCGCAAGCATCTGGCGGCCGATTAAGAC